CATATGTTCCTATTGATCCTAGTTATCCTGACGAGCGAATTCAATTCATTCTGCAAGATACTAAAGCAAAAGTCGCCATAGTTAATAAGAAATACATAACAAGATTATATTCGTACAACATCATAAAGATTGAAATTGATTGCTCTTTAATTCAAGAAGCAATAAATGATGACAGGATGAATTGTAATCTTGATTTGGATATAAATGAACATAATTTGGCTTATGTGATTTACACATCAGGTACAACCGGGAAACCGAAGGGTGTGCTAATTGAGCATGACAGTGCAGTTTCCTTCAGAAACGATATAAAATATCGATATTTTGGTAATAATGACACTGATGCTATGCAACAAGCAATTTTATTCTTTTCAAATTATATTTTCGACTTTTCGATGGAGCAATTAGTGCTGTCCATACTCAGTTCTAATACGCTTATAATTCTGCCGAATACATTTACAATTGATGAGAAATTCTACTCTTATCTAAATAAAAATCGACTGACATACTTAAGTGGAACACCAAGTCAAATGCAGCAACTCGATTTCAGAAATCTTAAATATTTAGAAAGACTAACTCTTGGCGGGGAAGGATTGACGGAAAGAGTGTTTGAAAAAATCCGAACAGAATATACAGGTAAAATAATAAATGGTTTTGGCATCACTGAGACAACCGTTTGCAATATGGTGTATGTTTATGAAAATGCGATGAAATATAAAAATTCATTAGGCTCGTCTATGTCTAATACGAAGAGATTTGTTCTTAACAATAGCATGCAAATATTGCCGGTGCACGCTATCGGTGATCTCTATTTGACTGGCGATTGTATATCGAGAGGTTATTTGAATCGATCGGAATTAACCGCTGAGCGATATCTACCAAATCCATTTCAAACGGACGAAGAAAAGAAAGAAGGTAAGAACGCACGTATTTACAAGACAGGTGATTTAGTTCGTTGGCTACCGGATGGTGATTTGGAATATCTGGGTAGGAATGATTTTCAAGTAAGGATCAGAGGATTGAGAATCGAATTGGGCGAAATAGAAACTGTGTTATCCTCGTATCAAGGTGTGAAGCAGTCGGTTGTTTTAGCCATAGACCTGAAGAAGAAGAATGCAGACACATCATCAATAAAATATCTTGTTGGATATTATGCTTCCGATAATGATATTGACGAGTCCAGTATAAAACTGTATATGGAAAGAAAGTTACCTGATTACATGATACCAAATCGATTGATACAGATTGAGAACATACCAATGAATATTAATGGTAAATTGGATAGAAAAGCGTTACCGGATTTCGACTTTTTCGTTCATGAAAACAATTACTGCGCACCTAGGAATGAATTAGAAGCCAGGCTCTGTGAAATATGGTCGGGCTTACTCGGCATTGAGAAGATTGGTATCACAGATGATTTCTTCCTATGTGGCGGCGACAGCATAAGCTCAGTACAACTCATTACTCGAATGCGAAAAGATTTGAACCTCTTCGTCTCGGTAAAAGATGTTTTTTCATTCCGAACAATTGAGAGTCTTTGTCACAACGTATTTATAAAGAGTTTTAAAGGTGAAACCTTAAAATTATCGGATTCAGGTGGTTCTGAACAAGATCCTTCGAATGGGGAGTTACCGTTGTTGCCAATACAAGAATGGTTCTTTCTGAAGCATTCGGGAAGTATGAACCACTGGAATCAGTCTTTTTTAATTGAAACACCACCTTTAGAGCTAAGCAAGCTGAAATACTGTGTAATGCGGTTGATAGAATATCATGATGCTTTTAAGTTGAGGTTTAAGCGGATTGATGATAAAAGATTCATCCAGTACTATGACTGTTCGTCGAATAGCGCAAATACATTGACATTGAATCATTTGGACATTCGTAGTCTGGGAGAGAGTGAAAATTATCATTGTTTACTGAATGAAATATTGACCGAATGGCAGAGTCATTTCGATATCGAGCATGGCCCACTTTTTGCTGTTGGCTATCTAAGCGGCTTTGCTGATAGCCGAGCACGAATCTGGTTTGCCATGCATCATTTAATCGTAGACACAGTAAGCTGGCGAATAATTTGCGAAGATCTACAGCGGTTTTATGATGGTTCGTCACATCTAGGAATAAAAGGCAATAGCTATGGAGAGTGGTCACGGTTAATTCAGTCGTATGCAGTGCGAAAATCAGCGACAGAAGGGCTTTACTGGCGTAATGTTGTGAGCCGTGTGCCCTTTTTTAATGATAGTTTTAGTAAGGATAATGTGCTATTGAAGAATAGACTGACGACGACTGCAACTAGTATCACGCTGAGTACGATGGAAACATGTACCCTATTGAGAGATTGTCCACATGCATACGACGCACATATCAATGTGTTGCTGCTTACTGCCCTTGGTTATGCTCTAAAAGAACTAACACAAAATCGAATCAATTATGTGACATTAGAAGGTCACGGCCGTGAAGATATCGATGGCAATAGTGTGTATATTAGTCGAACAGTCGGTTGGTTTACAACGATGTACCCAGTTCTTCTCGAAATTGACGACGATCTGAGACGTAGTATCATGAATGTGAAAGTGCATTTGATGCAAGTGCCTTACAAAGGGATTGGTTATGGGACAATCATTGGCTACAAAGACCAAGACTTGCCACGAATTAGCTTCAACTATCTAGGGCAGTTCGAAGCAGCACCGCCGACTAAAGCCAGTAGTAGCAGTAAGAATAGACGATGGTATTTAACCGATGGAGTTGTCGGAGACGAGCGAGTGCAGACTGCTGATAACGATGATGTACTTGCTGTGAACGGACTTTGCATGAAAGGACAAATACGATTCGACATTACTAGCAGGCTGAACTCTGAAAAAACACAACAATTTGCCAATTCGTATAAATCAAAGCTCGAAGATATAGTTCGCGAATGCTTCGCTACTAAGCCGCTGAGTGAGATAGATTATTCACATGACTTCGAGCAACCATTTGTTGTACTAAACACTGACTCTGATAATATTTTATTCATTTTGCCACCTGATGGTGGTGGCGCTGAGTGCTACTTCAATAATATTGTTCCTCATTTATCATCATTTAAACTGGTGGTATTTAACAATTACTATCATAATCTTAAAACAAAAAATATGGAAAAAGGTTTGTCAATGGAAACATTAGCTCATATATACATAAAGTATATTAAACAAATTCAACTCAGCGGTCCATATAACTTTTTGGGTTGGAGTTTTGGTGGAGTTTTGTCGTTTGAAATTTCTCGCCAATTAAGCAACGCTGGCGATGAAATTAAGAACATATTTATGATCGACTCATGCTTCAATACAAGCAAGGCGTGTTTTGACATTGGCAAAACGGAAAAAATGGATATAATCGATGAAATAAACTACTCATACTTACCAAAAATAGACAACGACATGTTTGCATTAAGTATAGCTGATATGATTGTCAACGTTGTGCTATTCAAAGCTAACAAGTTGAGTGAAGGCAACTGGTCGGACGATCAATTAAAAGTATTCATGTACTATAGGAATGCAGAATTTAATAATCTGGATACATTGCTAAATCCCAAATATATTCAACTATTTCAAATGCAAGACGATAGCCACTTCTCTTGGATATTTAATAAAGAACAAATCACCAATATTTGCAGCTATTTGACAAATGTATTAAAGTAATAGGCAAAGAAAACAGATACTCTACTATACACAATAGTTTGATAACACGTTAACTTGTAAAAGAAAAGAAAAACTTTTAATTTATTTTAGTTTTATTTTCCATCAGACCCATTATTTTGAAACCATTGATATATACGTCTGTGGCACACACAGCGATGATTTTATTTTAATTATTTTATGCCGCCTGCTTCTAGTTAGTTATATTTTTTTATTTCTTCTTCAAACATACCGATAAATACCAGTATTATCATATGTCAAACAGAATAAACAAGTTCCCATAAACATAAATGAAACATTTAAGTACTTGCTGTTAAATCATGACTTATTATTAGATGTCGGTGAGTGTAGATATGGGTGCGGATGTGAATGTGTGGGACAGAGATGTTGGTAGCTGATTTGTTTTTGACCCGACTCGCAAACCCGGCCCGTTAAATATCGAACCCAACCCCCTTGAGGGTGGGTGTGGGTGTGGGTGTGGGTGCTGATGTAGGTGCGGGTTTAGGTTTGGGTGCGGGTGTGGGAACAGGTGTGGTTGTGCAGAATAGATAGCAGCGGCATCCACATACTACACAAACGCCCACATCCCACCCTCACCCAAACCACACCCACCTATACTCACACCCACATCCCACATCTCATACCCCATACACCACACACTAGATATGAGCAACATGGTCCCGGTCCCACCAGGACTAGAATGGTGACCGGGACTAATTATTATTTTTTAGCCGGGACTGGCATCGGGACCGGGACCGGGTCGAAATTAGGACCACCAAACTTTAATTGAAGTGAAATCTTTTTTAATTGCATAAGATTTGTGTTAAAAGTCATGTTGTCATGACTCTTATTCTAAAAGTTCGTGCAATAATTGTTGACAGATACCGCAACATATCTCAATGTTTTATACAACACTTATATTTGACTTATTGAAGAAAAAATACAAAAAGAGGCAGCATATGAATTTCAAAATATATCGTGCTCATAATTATTTTTACTACTAGTATTTTCATTGTCTTCATCACCGCTGCTTGAATCATCAACGCTTTCATATAGTTCTTTGTTTACTAATTTTTCTGCCGAGGACTTGTCAGTAGCATTAACATGATGAAATGTTGTTAAAAATGTTATGTTACTTTTGAGAAACATCAACTTATCAATTTTTGCATTATTTAATCGGGTCCTTTTATTTGTAATACTTGCTGCACTAGTTGAAAATAAGCGCTCAACGCTGGTATTTATTGCCGGGATGACAAGGATATCAAAAGCAATTGAGCTTATTACTGGATAAGTATGTTATTGTTTATTCCAAAAGTCAAGTAGATTATCTATATCTCAATCGAATGTGAAGCATGTTTTTATGTACTTTTCAATTTCTGTTTCATCATTTGATATAGCATCAACTGATGGGCCAAGATCATAACAATCAGAAAGTAAATTTGTTCTTATTCTTTTTGGTGTAATTAAAGACGCTGTTAATTTAGGACATGGTTTATGTGTTTTTGATTCAAGTGATTGTCGTTTATCAAGTTCTTCTTTTAAAACATTATAAAATTCGTCTTTTAATTGAGGACAAATGCTAAAAATATAAATATAGAAAAGAAGCTGTTACCGCAATCCTTTGCGGGATTAAAAATGTGAAACACGATGGATCTATTGTTACTAGTTAAATTAAAATTGTTTTGCTCCATTTCTTTGCGATATATTTGTAGCTTACGGTTTATCTAATGCTTTAGAGCTACAGTTTCTCTGTTACGATCTGTGATGGGTCCCAAGCCCTGTCTATCACGGTCTGTGATGGGTCACATGAGTGTCTGTTACGGTCTGTGGGGGAGGGGGAGGTCGAAATTTCTACCCTTAAGCACTTCAACACTCCTTTCAGATCGTGTTTTACAAAATGAGTTAAAATTAATTAGCATATCAAGACTAAAATAAGGCCATACGAATTCAATATTAATGTTGAATAAAGTAATATCGTTCTACTTAAAGGGCAATCATTCAATACCACATTAAAACCAATTTGTATTGAACTAAAATCTCCTTTAGTGATGATAATCTGCTTGAAACGTAGCAAGTTCGTCATATATTTTCAACGCAAAATAGTAGGTTGTGTTTTAATCTCGACAAGATTTTCTGAATGGGTAGAAGGATTTGATAATTCCCCATGCTGTTTTTGTCTCAAAATCTCCTGAAATATATACGACATTTTTAAATACTCGCGTGTATGCTTTTAATTTTGGATGCAAGATCATCGCCATCAGATGTTCTTCAGTTATTATTCATTGATACTCCAATTCAGATGAAAAAAATTGTTTAATATTTGCCATGGCATCAGAATCATCTGGATCCAATTGTGATAATTTTATTAGCTACATTTTTATTGGAATGACGAGATGAAGTGTTGGTCGTTTTTCAGCACTTAATGTTTCTGTAGCTTGAACTAAAATAGTTAAAAATTTGTCGACACACGGAGAAAAAAATTAAGAGTCAGTTCAATAGTGGAACTCACTTGATTATAATTACAGTACACGGTAGGAATGTAAATAATATCAAATAATACAAAATATTTTGCAATATTCTTTTAACAAATCCAAATCCATCGGTATTAAACGTAGTTTTTGATCAGAACTTGTCAATAATTCGTTTATCTCTGAATACATTTCAAGAAAATCTTGTATCATTTGAAACGTACTATTCCATCTAGTTTTAGAAAATAAATTGATAGATAGAGATAATTTTGCTTGTATGTGCGTTTGTCTAATATGTGTAACAATTATTTTAACTTGATTAAATGTTTGCTGAATTAGATCACAACCAATATTGCAATTTGTTAATGAATGCTCGATAATTTTGTTGACATAATGTGCGGAGCATCTAGTTCTTTTAACTCCTTCTCTAAATGCTGCTTTCATTTTAAGTTCATTGTTCCTCATTATGTAGACATTTTCGTTTATTGTTAAATCAAAGTCAGATAAGATGTCTTCAGTAAATGCACGTATATTGGGGCTTTTACTATTAGGTAAATCATATTCATGGAAAGAGAGTACCATAGATTTTAAACCATGTGTTTTGAAATAGCAATGAATTGAAACACCACCAAAAGAAACACCAATGTGTGGTTCTGTCCAGAAGTCGACGGTTATTGAATAACGGTTGATACTTTTGATAATTTTTTTAAATTGATTTTTTCCGAAGGTGGACATAGTGTCGCTTTCTCGACTAATCTGAAGAAAACGTCGAAATTGACAGCTTCAAAGGTAAGAAAACTTACTGTAGTTCGGTTGGGAATGATTGTTTCAATTGGGATTGATTTACCTACTCTGAAAAGAAAACAGGAGTTTTGCAGAACCTTTTTATGGGTTCTGCTATCGGCTAAAAGGCAGAACCCCCAAAAAAGGTTCTGACTGGAAAAAGGTTCAGTAAAGAAATAACGAAACCACATCTGATTTTTCTTCAAAAACGGTTCTGTCCTACGTATTAGGTGTTCCATTATTTAAATGGTTTATCGTTGGCATTTCCCGTATCTCTGTATCCCTATTTCCATATTCTTATATTCATACCCTCATATCTATACCCTTATAACCATACCAGTATAACTATACCTTTAATACTACATCCTTATAACTATACCCTTGTATCTATACCCTTACGACTATAACCCTTATAACTATACCTTATATCTATACCCTTATTTCTGTATCCTTAATTCTATATCCTTATATCTATACCATTAATACTACATCCTTATAACTATACCCTTATAACTATACCTTATATCTATACCCTTATTTCTGTATCCTTAATTCTATATCCTTATATCTATACCATTAATACTACATCCTTACATCTATACCCTTATAACTATACCTTTATAACTGTACCATTATAACTATACCCTTAATACTGCACGCTTATATCTACATCCTTATATCTATTTTGTGATAACTATGGCAACTATGGCTTTATTTTGATATTTCCTAAAAAAAGTGTTTCTGGGAAAAATCTTAGAGGTTTTTCGATTTTGTCATTGTCTGAAAAACCATTCAGAGTTTCCGAATATTGATGTTCAAAGTCTCCCGAGCCTAAACAAATAGTTATAGTACTTTCTCACAAAGCGGTATCAGAAACCGCAAAAAGGTTTCCAAGCTCAGCAACATGAGAATCCAAGGAAGGATCTCAAAAATATCGACAGTCAACAGATTTCGATAGCATGTCATGTATCATAAAACCACCGAAATGACAGATATCGTTATTTCTCGAATGCTAAAACATAACTTAGTCATTCGATGAGATCTATTTGAAGAATCTAAAAGAAAGGATAAATTAATATTCACTTTTCATTCTTTAATGTAACTCACCCTTTGAATGAAATCCATTGCAAGAACCTAAAACAAAAAAAATCGATATTTCGATATTACCTTTTTATTCTTAAATGAAACTTACTATTTGTATGAAATCTATTTGAAGAATCTAGAACAAAAAATGAGCTTATTATAAGTTTTTGATTCTTGAATATAACTTACTGAATAGACAAAATGCATGAGAAGAATCTAAAAGAAAAATAAATTTTGATATTAGCTGTTGATTCTTCAATGGGACTCATCCTTCGAATGATATCATTGTAAGAAACTAAAAGAAAAACAGAAATTTTGATATTGAGTTTTTATTCTTAAATGAAACTTACCGTTTGGATGGAATCTATTTGAAGAATTTCAAACAAAATAGAAATTGCTATAGGTTTTTTTATTGTTCGATCCTGTAATTTTAAGAAAAAATCAGTTATAGGGATCACCTGAAACCAGAAGTTTTGGGTGTTCTCACTCACTACAACTTTTATCAATTATCATGACAATTTTAATCGGTTCTTTCTTGAAATTTAATCAAACAAGGTAACAAAGAAAAAACAAAATTTTCACGNCAAGATGCTTTTGTTCATTAGAAGATATAATATGTCGATATTATTACTAACGAAATCAAAGATCACGTGTGTTTTATCCAGCAGTTCACGAATTTTCTAACACCATAAGTTTAAAAGGAAATAAATATTAGATAATAAAGCTATCTCAATCGAAACTCTTAATCATAAGTTTCAACTAATTCGAAATATTAGCGCCTACAAGTGTTTTTCACAGCACAATGTATCTATTTTCCCAGTCATATTTGATCTGTACATTGACAAATGTGAATGTAAACTAGAAAGCTAAAAATTCTATAGAACCATCTACATACATGAAGATATTTCGTATGAATTATTTTTCATTCTGTCTCTCGTTCAACAGTTTCTGTACTTCTTCGCTTGATTCAGTTTAAATTGTGATATATACCTTAAAACCAAATTCTTCAAGATCAGACTTCTAGCCCGCTCATGACATTCCTAACAATTATAACAACCGCTTTAGAATGCAATATGCATTATCTAACATTCCTATAGATAATTTTAGCGAACCAGAGCATACAAATAGCGTCACCTACGTGAAGCGTTTAGCATCCTAGATACTGTTTCTAAACAGATTTCTGAATGGCGATGATGGAAATCTAGATGATGTTCTGAACGTTCTTCATAATTCTTCGATATTTCCAGATGCATCCTCTTTGTTGTTATTGTAATCATTCTCTTCAGTCCATTCAGTGAAATGAAGTCTTGCGAATTATTTGTAATTCAAAAACAAATATGAACTGAACGATTATATAGTCAAAGAAAAGTTTATTGTTACATAATCTACCAACAGTGGACAACAAGACTAATTGATCGAGAAATCGTCCCATTTTAAGGTGAAATGCTTTATCCTGCAAACAGTTACGCGTAACAAAGAGAAATGGAAAAATCACTATATACATATACAACGATGATTCATTGTTCATTCATCTATATACCATGTCTCATTGTCTATTATGCACTTCTTCTTGAAAGGGCAGAAATTGTAAATCCACTTCTTCCAGAAACTTATACTTCTGCTGTATAGAATCGATTTCTCCTAGACACTCCCTTAAAGTGAAAAAAAGCTTATTCGTTTCTTCTTCCAATATGACATGATATTATGGACATCTCTTTGTCTACTATACACTTGCGCTTGAAAGGGTTGAAACTGTTAATCCACTTCTTCTAGATATTTCTATATTTCTGCTGTACAAAAGTCATTTCTGCTATAAATTATCTATGTGACGAAAGGCACAAAAAGATTGATATCTGTTTATTTATTTTCCATTTTCACTGACTAGTATAGAAATCCTTCAATGATTTCTGCTGGTAAAAATTATCGATGCATGCTGTAGGGAACCCTGTTTTTCTAAAGAAAAGCCTTTCTCCTTGACTTTGCGTGGGATGAAGGATTTCTCCGTGAATTGGAACAATTTCTCGATTTTGGGGGATATCATCTAGCCCTCTTCAACATAGAATATCAAAAACTGAATAGGTCTAATATCGACTCTTTCAAGAAAAATTTTACAAAATAAATAGTTTTATCGATTGTATTGACCATCTACTTAAGTCTCAAGATGAGAACAAGTATTTTCTGTAACTTGAGCTCGTACTGATACTGATACAGTCAGTGTGTTGACTATTAAAACGTTATTGATAAATTCTTATTAATCTGAAAATTTATGAAGACTTGATATTATTGATAAAACAACAAACAAAAACAATTCAGTATGATTGTCAAAAACAGCGAAATGATTCACATCATATCATCCCAATAGAGAAGATAAATGAACCATGGCGGGAACATTACGATAAAATAATTCAGAAAACAAAAATGTTAATTATTAATGTCTTGCAGCATTATGGTGGCTATAAATGTGATGTGTTCTTCAGACGTACATTTACAACAACTTCCGTACAATCTAAAAACAATTATGAAGATTTAGACATCTGTTCTCTAATGAAAAGAACGAGAGACAGCAATATTTCTTGCGACATCATATAAAATAAGATTCCTAAGTTTATCTCACTATTCCTGTGCCAGAAGTTATTTTATGAAAACAAATAAACTCTAATTGAATCTCACCTAATTGATTGTCCGAATGATTTTGTCAGATCCTAGTTGATTTTGGTAAGATTTTTTCACCTAATTTAGGTGAATATAAAACAACCTTGTAATGTGATTTGCATTATTAATTTTGAAATATTTTTGAAAACAATAAAATATATCCGTGTATAGATGATGGAGCCATTAGACTTGGGCAAGCTTAGAACAGAACAAATCAAGGCTTGAGTAGGTAAAATACAATATTAAAGTTTTCTATTATTATTTAGTTTTTATATTCTTCTGACACGAGAAAGATCTTTTGAAGATCACTCCATATTATCGATACTGTTAAGCCGTGCTCAATGAGATATTTATTGAATTTCGTTGGCATATAAATCTGATGCCAAATTCTCCATTCTCAATATTATAGGGAAGCTGAATTGTTTTTTGTACGAAGTTCTATTTAAGTTGATTTTTGAATTTTAAATACTTGAATAAAATAAGTCCTTTCATATACTGATACCAGCTACACAAATTTAGAATAAGTTTTTCTGTCAAGGTAAAAAAAACTGCACAAATAGTCTTGATGAAAGTACATCTCGTATAGAGATCTCTTGTAATAGCTCAAATTATACTAAAGATGAGCGAAAATTATGCACATAAATGTCATAGTTATTAACCATCAAAAACTCACTATCCACGTAATCGAGTACCATGTTGATTTCCTTTCAAAGAAACAGAAAAAAACGTCTTATACTGTGAATAGTTTTAATTATTTCTTCTTAAACTATTTTTCTATTGTTATTTCAAGTACGTTTTTAGTTATTTCCTCTAGTTTCTGTTATATCGAGAAAAAAAATCGTATTTGATAAATAGTTATCACATTTACAAAGAATTAAAATCTTGAACGAAAACCTATAAAGTTGACGAAATATAAAAAATAAATGAAAACATTTGTCAACCCGTTCGCATCATCGTACATAAAGTTAGGGTTGGGATTAAGTTGAAAACGATTAATATTAAGTATAATCACATTTTCAATCATTTTTTTAGACGTTTTTCATAAAAAAAACAACAATAGAACTAAAAAATCACAATTTCATGGACATTACGATTTTCTTCGATTATAATCAATTAAAACTTATTAAAAAACAACAGTTCAAATAATACAAACCAATAAAAGTCGGGGTGAAGACTTTTTCACTTACTACAAAGAAAAATCAATTGAAATCTTGTGATTGAATTCAATTTTAATCTGATTTCAACTCTCTTGTTTTGCATGAGCAAATGTAGCTGAGCTCAAAAGTACAGCTGATCCTGGAATAAAGTCTTTCCGTCACCTATATATCCGTGTTAATATTTTTTGGATTCTAGTTCAAATTTCTAGTACTTAAACGAGCTCACATACCTTTATTTCCAGCGATTGTCATGCAACATCAAGCAATTGTTTAGACGGAGTTTTGCATCGCTAATGACACTTTTAGTAGACGTGCAAGCTTTTCTAGAATGTTCAAAGTTCCTTCAGTTTCCTACAGCATGCTTCTAGATGATTGGCGGCTTCATTTCATTACTTTGGTGTCGTATCTAGAGAACGTGGGAACTATGCTGGATAGTACTTTTGAAGATTGATCATATTATTTTTGTTTTTCTTCTTGGCGATTCTTGAGAACTTTCTCGAGATCCTCAGAAATTTTCACACTACTTGCCAAAAGTACTTCGGTCATAGATATCCATTTTCAGTAACGTACTACATTCCGAATGAACTCGGTGGAGAAATGACAATCTTTATCGTTTCGAAGCCTTCTCGAGTAAGAGTTTCATTAGAATCACTAGATTAAAATTAAGGACCTCTTATTGAAATCGCGCCTCTGAGACGTGTTGTCGTTGAAGACACATAGTTTTCAGATAACCAGGTTGATCCTTGATTTTCTTTTATTTCGCTAGTACCACTACGTGGCAGTTCACGTGATATTCCTCTCAATGCCAAATGGTCACAGACAGGTGTCACTGTAGCTGGAGGAAATGGCTTAGGCGATGGAACTAATCAACTCAATTCCCCAAACGGTTTGTTCGTTGATAATGAACAAAATATTTATATAGCTGATTCCAGCAATCATAGGATTGTCGAATGGAAATCCGATGCAACGAATGGTACAGTCGTTGTCGGTGGTTATGGACGAGGAACAGGAGATTATCTATTAGATTCACCGCAGGATATCATTGTCGACAAAGAGACCGATAGCATCATCATCGCCGACTATGGGAATCAGAGAGTTATTCGATGGTCTCGTCGAGATGGGAAACGAGAGGAAACACTGATTTCAGATTTCTATAGCTACGGTTTGACCATGGGCGAACAAGGATCACTCTACGTTGTCGACTCCAGAAAACATGAAGTACGACGATATGAGAAAGGTGGCACACAAGGAAAAGTAGTTGCCGGTGGCAATGGACAAGGAAATAGTCTCAACCAACTCAATAACCCTTTTTTCGTCTTTGTCGATCGAGAACGCTCAGTTTATGTGTCTGATTATGGAAATTATCGTGTGATAAAATGGAAAGAAGGTGCAACACAAGGCACCGTCGTTGCTGGTGGCCAAGGGCGAGGAAATAGTATTACACAATTGACTGTTCCTCGAGGAGTCCTTGTCGATCAATTGGAGACTGTCTACGTGGCCGATCAACAGAATCATCGAGTTATGCGTTGGCTGAGTGGAGCCAAACAGGGAAGTGTCATAATTGGTGGAAACGGCGAAGGAGACAAGCCGAATCAATTAAACAGCCCCATATGTTTGTCATTCGATCGTCATGGCAATCTGTACGTCGTCGATCGGGACAATCACCGTGTTCAACGCTTTGATCTCCAATGAACTGTATTTCTCGTGATTGAAATATTTTATTGTCTCACTTCTTTTTCGTCTTTCGAAATAAATTGCTGTGAAAATGAATGAAAAGGGTTTGGGTGTTGTTCTTTTCTACACCCACATTCACATCCATCGATGATCTCGTTGGGGCACGAACGTGTGCTATGGATGTCAAGATGTTGCTGATAAGAGAATAAGACGTTGCGATGCGAAGCGAAGAAAACGAAGACCTGCATAGAACAGACGAGACAGGGATATCCGAATGGAAATGAGAAATAAAAAGAGCGTAACCTACCACTTCTGTTATTCTCTTGGGTTGTTCATAAACTGAAAAGAAAAAGAAAACAAACTTGAAACTGATACCTACAGTTATTTTTTTTCTGGTATTGTCGTGTTTGGCATTGGGATGGCCTAGAATAGTGTCGTTGAGTTGGATCTAAAATAAAAAACAAAACATAATTAGTATCGATTCAAAAATTCGAATGATTTCATGTTGGAAATCATCGACATTTATATCCTGACAAAAGAGAGAAATTAAGCTTGAAATACAAAAGGGTGTGAGTGTGGATGTAAATCAATAGAAGATCCATACTTACATTCCACTCACCCATAAGCACGCCCACATCACTCACACCCACCCTAAGACAGTGACTGGTGTGTAATAGTGCTATGAAAAAGTCTGATTCTCATGTTTGCGTTTGTCGAGAAAACTAATTGTCAAAAGCTAAAGTATTGTTTAGCCAATTGTAAACAAACAACTTTTTTTCTTCAGGCAAAAACAGAATAATAAAACTGAAGCAGGTGTACTCTGAAAGCTGAGCCTTTGGGCCATCCATCTACGAAAAGAATTCTATCTTTCTATTTTTTTCCCAGCGTTAAAATTAGCTATTCTTTCTCAGCTAATTAGATTGCTTTAAGAAAGAACTTTATTGAGCAATAAGCCGTTTTGAGCCGAACCGAATTGTGTGTCACATAATCTGCCATGCGAACAAAACGACCGGTTAAGTTTCTATTGACTGATTGCTAAAAATCCCAGATAACAAAAATCAGTATCTTATTACCATAACTTGGGGCAAAGCTGGATGCTACCAAGTGGATCCACAGGTTGCGGATAGTGGAATGGCCATTAGTATGATGGTTAGCTGCGAATAAGATCAAGTAATTGAGCAAATAAGCAGTCCCGGACAATTCAGCCATCCTGCCAACAGGATGTGGTGGGGTTTTGGGTGGCACCAAAACACCTATAAAATGCTACAGAAACCCAATGATGGCAAGATGATGATACGGCGAGTAAAGGTCGCCCGAAGCAAGGTTCACCCGAGCCAAGTTTTCATAAGTCTTAGCCAGGGTACTCCACCATGGAAGTCGCAATCCTGCGATTTCTGTGCCGGTCGCAAGTCCGGAAAGGGAGGAGCGTTAGATAGAAAGGGGTGCAGATACCACTATCTGTAAAAAAAACTCAAAGACGGCAGAAACCAAAAGATGAAAGTCAATGATCCTAATCCATACCGGCTCGGATGTCGTCCGGGTGAAAAAGGTCCACGTCCTCTGCCCGGTAACCACGGCAGAGCCGAAAAGTTGGTTACTGGAAAAGTTTCAAACATCATAAAAACTAGCACCAATGGAATGAGATTAAGGAAAGAAATCTTAACAATCGGAGCATGGAATGTTAGAACTCTATGGAAAACAGGAAAACTAGATCTACTTAGAAATGAACTAAAACGTTTCAGAAGTCAGATGAGCAGAAAAGGAGAAACAGCTACTGGAGATTTTATATGGTCAGGGGAAGAAAATATTCACGCAAATAGAGTAGGGTTTCTATTAAGTGGGAAGGCTAAAAATGCTTTCATTGGATATAATCCGGTTAGTCCACGTGTTATCACAGCAAGATTTAATGCAACTCCATTTAAAATCACGGCAATCCATGTATACGCACCAACTTCTGCATCTTCAGATGAGGAAATCGAGGCGTTCTACAATTGTATCGAGAATACACTAGCTAAGGTTCCCAAGAAAGATCTTATTCTTATGTCTGTCGATTGGAATGCGAAAGTTGGCAACGATAACACTGGATGGAATTCTGTGATGGGCAGATACGGTTTTGGAGACCGGAATGATCGTGGCGAACGTCTCCTAGAGTTTGCAACAGTGCATAGATTATTCATCTATAATACGAGATTCCAGCATAAAGTAGATCGAAAATGACCTTGGGAATCACCTGACGGAGTTCATAAGAATATGATTGATTTAATCTTAGTTCAGCAAAGATGGAAATCTTCGGTAATTAACTCCAGAACATTCCAAAGTGTAGATATCGGTTCAGATCATTCACTGGTATTATGCAATATCAAATTACACCTCAAGAAGATACACCATAAGAGAAACCAGAGCTGCAGATTAAGCATAAACCAGTTGAAAAATATTACTACCAAGGAACTCTATATCGATTTATTAAAAGAAAAAATCGAAAAATTTCAATCGGATAGTAGTATCGAAGAATACTCCAAAGAAATACTAAACGCTATCCAAGAAATAGGGAATACAGTTATCCCTGCAATAAAATCATTTAGAAAACCATGGGTTTCTGCAGAAACAATACAACTTGTTAAGGAGAAACGTTTAGCGAAACTAACAAAGAATATATCAATAGAAAACAGCAATAAATATAGAGAAGCCTGTAATTCAGTAAAACGATCAGTAAAACATGATAAAGAACAATGGTTGCAGTAACAGTATGCAGTAATTGATAAAGGTCTAAGAGTAGGTAACACCAGGCAAGCGTATAGCTTAATAAAAACACTAAAAAAGACAGATTTTACACCACGATTAAATATATTACTGAGTCATGGGGGAAAATTGCTACGATCTAAAGAAGCGATCAAGAAACGATGGACTCAATATTGTAGTAACTTATATAATGATAATGGTGGAGGAGATATAGTAATAAAAGAATTAGAAGAAATTTCCCCACCAATTCGGCAAGAATCCCTTGATATCGTATTATCGGAGATAGGAAAAGCCATACAATCATAAAAAAAAGGATAAAAGTTCTGGTTTAGATGGAATCCCAGCTGAATTATTACAAAGTGGTGGAGAATCATTAACACATAAAATCCACAAACTCTGTAATAAAATATGGCATAGCGAAGTGATTCCAAAAAATTGGGGAAAATCAATTATGATCCCACTACCTAAGAAGGGGGATTTATCAGAATGTTCAAACTACAGAACGGTATCCTCTCATTTGCGAGCATACAGTCGAAAATTCAAAGTTTATTAAATTAAATTATATTTCATTTTTCAATTAATTTGAATTTTTCAGATTAAAAGCGATTGAAAGTGTCAAATTTTCGATTTTTAATTCGTTGAAACTTATTTCTTGAAAAGAACTTCGAAAATTAAAGTCGTTGCTTTTATTATTTAATATTTTTTACTGAAACGAATTTTAACAGCCATTTTGTTTGAAGAATTAAAATTTGTAGAGTTCGCTCTTGCTTTCTACGCTATTTGTATACTTTTTTTGGGAAGATGTAGAACTCGCTAGTGCTTTCAATACAATTTTTGTATTTAGCTTGGGAAGATGTAGAGTTCGTTTGATATATGCTTGCAGGATTTCCATCTATTCAGCTCTTATTAGTGGAGTGTGCTATACTACGTAGTGCTCTTCTTCTTTTTCTAAATTAGGTCTCATATTTAGAGTTCATCAGACGGAATTACCAATATGAACGTCATAAGCCTGTTTTTTGTATTGGAATTCTATGTAGTTTCCATACTAATATAAGATAAACAGTCCACTGAAAAGAAACTAATTGAAACCCAAAAATATAATTATTCAACAACGAAAACTGTGGAAAGAATGTAAACGGGACAAAATTTAGGTGTTGGCATTAGAATTCTCTTCAAACAAGCGTCCATCGAGATCACACTTTGAATGGATATTGAATCATATTTGTGGAACATGAGAGAAACAATTCAACGCTCCCTTCGATATTCATCAAAACTCTCTTTTTTCCGTCCCTTGCTCGAGCTATATTAGGCTTCGTTTTTCAATATAAGAATTAAGAATATCACCTTCCAAAAGGTGTTACTGATTAAAATTAAGATTCATAGTACTTAAACTAAATCTATGATCTTGATACGTTCCAAAAAAGGTTTTATAAAAACTCTCTCGTGGTCAACCTATTTCAGTGACCTCGTTTAAAATGCGACAAGATTTCATTAGGGGTTTTTAAGACAATTTCTTCGACAGTATACCTGAGGGTGTGGGTGTGGGGGTGGGGGTGGACATAGATGGAACCGGTCTAGTTTTTCGACGACCGGTATCGGTACCGGTCTAAACCGGTCGGACCGGACCGGCCGGTCTACCGGTTTGACCGATCTACCGGTAAAAGACCGGTTTACCGGTAAGATACCGGTCTACCAGTAAAAACCGGTCTACCGGTAAAAACCGGTAGATCTGTAAAATGCCGGTCTATTAGTAAAATATCGATTTACCGACAATGGATCAGTTGTCAAAATCAAATACTGCCTGAAAAGTACTTTATTTTTCCATCAAAAACAGCTCTGCATTAGTGTTTATGATGAAAACGGGAAAATGGAAAAGTAAGACCGGTATCATACCGGTAATAGACCGGTTTCAAACCCGTATACCGGCCGGTCTAAAGTCCGGACCGAACAGAACCGGCCGGTTCCCGGTACCGGTTCCATCTATGGGTGTGGGTGGTGTGGGTGTTGATTCTCTCTTAAACAGCAGCCATACCCACACCCACACCCACACCCTTCCATCTAGTTGGCTTTATAAAGCTTGAATTGCTGGGCATTATATTGTATGACTATAGCTCCTTTTGTGCAGCTTTCAATTTTCTATCTTTCTGTATATACCATGAAAAAATTCAGTAATTTATTGAAACGCAAGCTGATACATCTTTTATAGAGTATTTTTTCCGAAATAGGTTTGGTAGTGCTAGAAGTCGGTATTGGCTAACTTTCCAAAGGAAGAGTATTAGAACTTAAAATTTTGGGGCTGGGTGTGGGTGTGGGTGTGTATGTGTGTGGGTGTGGGTGTGGGTGTGGGTGTGGGTGTGGGTGTGGGTGGGTGTGGGTAGATGTGGGTGTGGGTGTGTGTGGGTGTGGGTGTGGGTGTGGGTGTG